TTCTTCTTCTTCATCTAGCATCTTCATCAAGCATCTCAGGCAAATCTTACCACTAAACTTTGGACCAGAAAGCCCATCGTAATGGACAATATTTTTACTATAGATGCTTTACTAACAGGGCAAATCAGTGAGGATATCAGAGACAAACCATAATACATTTGTCCCTCTCTGAACACCAGCTGCTACCTCTGGGGAGTCAGCAAATCAAAAATGTAGGAGGCAGGAGATGGACGATTTATGGAAGTGATGGTTTTGTCCTTATCAGCAATTATTCTAAATTAAAGTAACAAACAGTTGTAGCTTGTCAGCTTAATTAAAGAACAAAAACAAAAGTTTTTGTCAGTGGATACTTGTACTAAGAATGTGCGGATATTTGTACTAAGAAAAAAAAATTCGTGCAAAGTGGCTTTGCCTCTTGCTATTTCAGGTTTGGAAACACAGTTCAAGTAAATCAGCATCGAAGCAATGCAAAATAACCAATTGACTAGCCACAGCAACTTTGATTATAACAATTTTTCCTGAACAAAATTTGTAGTTAATGTTTGAATAGTTAAGGCAATGTTTTAAACAATGTGTAGTCTTTCAAATCTGTAAGAACATGGTGACTGGGGAATCCTTCACCTCCTGTACATGTAATTGTCTACTGAAGGAAAAAAATAATAATGAATCAGGTCTGTAAAACTGAATTATGTAGATTGTACTGAAAATACCCTTATTTAGATAAATTCATCCTTTCTTTTTGCAACCTATTCCCCAATACACGGTACAAGCTCAAATAAGAGTTGCAAGAGGTTGCATCAGTGCTTGATGCTTTCCTTCAGTGTCCTCATCAAGCAGGCACAGCAGGTCATGTTACCAAAAGCAGAAAAAACAATCCTAAGAAACAAACGTAGGAAATTATTTCTATATGCTTTTTGGTCATCTAAAATCTCTGGAAGGGGTGGCAGGAACAGAATGGATTTGGAAAAAATGTGGAGCCATATTTTCCAAGATTCTCAGTATTCATTCTGCAAGAAAGACCCTCAAATGCATCCACAGCAATGTCTTTCTCTGTGCTGCTGTGTTCCTGAGATTGCTCTGTGTCACACCTACTCACTTTCAGTTGCACTAGTCCCAGACTACTGCTAATTTCATGTGCTCATTAGCTCAATGCTTACCAGTGTCCTCATTCATAATATCAAAGAAGCCACCAATGAAATTAAATATAAATAACACACCCTGCATATTTCACTTATTTATATACAATCTAGATATTGACACTTCTGTGTTTCATTCCACATTGTTATTAGTGTTTCTGGAGTAAATATAGGGTACAAGTTGCTGTTCATGAAGCCCTACTTCAAGCAAAAATATAAAATGAACAACATTTAAACATTGCAGAATAAATTTGAACGCTATGTTTAAAGTATGTGATGTATCAGCTGCTAACACTAATTGCAATATGAAGAACTCTATGCT